TACTGTTATTAATTACAGGTTTTTTTTCGTTATCGATTACAGGACCATTCGAGAGAAATGATTTTAAAGAACAGAAATAGTTGTTTCTCTCGAAGGAATCGTTAAGAACGTGTTTCGTTCGTTGTTCCTCCGAAGTTAGTCGACGCTTTCGAAAGATGGACACGCGCGATTGTCCTAGCTCGTATCGGAAGAGGAAGCTGGATCGTAGTTGCGTCGATTAATGCGTTGGCTGTGACGTCGAGGCTCCATTGGATCTGTCGAAACGGTGGCTGACATCGCGTTGCCCTTGCCGCCGAACCTTCCCTGCCCAAGTCCCTCGAACAGACGGACGCGAAGATTAGTTTCTGGATTTCCGGAGACTAACAATGTACACAACGAGCTTCTCCTTTTAATCGAAACCCAACGAAATCTTTAACGAAACGAACGAATATCTTGTTTAGTCGATTCTCCGTAAAATCTTGTTAGTAGCCTTGTATCGCAGCGTTCCCAGTTTAATTACACCGTGAACGACTCGCCGCTGGAATTAAACCAATTCGCTGTCGTATTATCCGTTTACGAATTAACCGACAAAGGAGTTTCGCCGCGTTTTGCCAGGGCCAGCTCGTCCGGTTTTTATCTAACGTTCAATTATCCGTGAAATTTCATTATAAAATGGGTCTTATAAAGTGTCCTTTGAAGGCTCCAGCAGTGAGGTACGCGACACAGCCGCCAACAACGACCGCCACGTCCTGCTTGAGCTCCCGGCGAGCAGCGACCAACAACGAAACCAAAACGACCGCAACACCGACACAGAGTCCTACGGCGGGTCAGAACGCTCATTCCTTAGAGAAAAGTCCAGTCTCGGGACGACCGGCTAGGAAACACGTCCAGTTCCCAGATACAGCCTCGGATGACCAGAAACTCAAGTCTGGTAAGCTCCTATTCGTCTGTCGTATCGTCAGAATCTTTTTTTATACTAACTTTCTTTATTATTCTTTCCTTCCACTTCTTCTTCTTCTTCTTCTTCTTCTTCTTCTTCTTCTTATTATTATTATTATTATTGTTATTATTATTATTATTATTGTTATTGTTATTATTGTTATCACTACTATATTATTGTTGCGATTGTTACCGCGGTATGTTATTCTTTTTCAAGCTAATAACTTGTAGCGGAACGACGAAACAAGTTTTCAACAGATTCCGTGCTCCGTTACATAACATTAATGAACTCCGCTAACAGGATCGCGTGCGCTGTTAAATTTCCAGTAAACTGCATCATCGAAAATTGATCCTGTAATTACATCGTCGATTGATTTCGTACCGACCGCGCGCTGACCTCAAAAGCAGAGGGTAGTTGATAGTAGGAGATATTAGGCGAACAAACATCGAGTTAATTCAATTGTCGATTACCTATCCTCGGCTATCCTCCGAGAAGATGATCGGATTACGGAACCGTAATCGACTTGGCAAAAAGTAGCAGCTTTTTCACTCGATATCCTTTTCTTTTACACATCGATTCGATAAAACTTTGCCGACCTTTAATCGGCTCGTATAATTGAACGTTTCATGGAAAAGAGACACCGCGTTTCAACTGGCATTTCGTCGATTGTTCCGATCTTTCGACGACTGGTTAAAGAAAACTTGTTCCGACATTGATTACAGAGAGTTCAGCCACAATCCTGATACCGAAGAAGGATTCGGAGACCATAAATCTGATACCGTCGTCCCCGGTGCGGCTCGAGGACCCACTGACGATCGATCAATCCCAGAAAAATAGTCTGATCCGTCACACCTGAGCCTGGAACACCACTTTGTCGACGTTAACGATGAAATCGTCCTGCTGGTTTCAGCTCCCCGTTCGCGTTAAGCCTCCTCCAGGAGGAACTACCCTCTCGTTCCCAATGAATTATTTATCCTCGCGAAATGATTCACGATCAAATGATTTATCCTCGCGCGTTCGCATAATCGTAAACCTCCGAGTACTCGACTACTTGTATTCGTCGCGTCCGCCAAACAGATCTTGGCCAGTTTCTCCATAAAGTTACACGTTCCTTTCTTTTCGTTGGAAATTGCGATCGTTCGGGGATTGTATATTGGTTACACGGTTTACTTGGATGGTACTGGTACCTTGAATAAAGACGAGAGACAACAGACAATAACACGTGCTTGGAATACTTTCTAGTTCTAATCTCTACTCGTGCGGAAACGTTTACGTAGTTCGGAAATAAAACAAATCGATTACATAGCTACTCTGAAATTTTCTTTGGATCATTATGACACGTTCAACGGCCAAGCAAGAGGAAATGATCGGAAATCGAATCGAATATTTCCAACGGAAAGAAACGAACGCTTTTACCGTAATGAGTGTTATCGAAACGGCCGTAAAAACGATCGAAAGTTGCGAGACGACGTAGCAACGTTCCAATATGGAAGGACGTTTTGTTCTTTCACAAGAGTGAAAAGAAACTTGCTACCTGAGCCGACGTGTCATCGGGAATATCGTTCTATGGCGTCGCGTCGCGTTCCAGAGGAAATCGGAAAAGTTGCGCTTGATTGATGCGGCGCGCCAAGCAAATAGAGGCAGGAACTTTCCCGATTAACGCGGGACGCGAATAAGCGCTCGCGCGAGCATCGATCAATATCGACTAACGAGTCGATCGTTAAAGCCGACTAATGAACACCGATCCTCCGAAGATGGACGTTTCAGCGGCTCGGGAACAACTATACTCCATCTGAATCTATCTAGTTCCTCCGCTATTCTTAAGTGCGCCCCGAGCAAAGGACCAGTTACCGACTGTTTTCTTCCCGATCGAGCCAGCTCGGTTCCCTCGACTGCGCTCGCGCTGCGACTCCGGTTTCGTTCCGTTTTCGAGCTGAATCGTTAACTACAGTTTACTTTATTCGACGCTATTACAAAGAATGGATCAGTCGATTTTGCTGAAAACTATTCGATCGCGTATCGTTATGTTCGCTTGGACACTCGAAGCGCCGAACCTGTTAGAAGCGACGTCAACCGAGGAGTTGCCTATCCATTTGTTCTTTCGGTGGATCCATAGCTTTAGGATACAGCTGCCCGATTTCTCCGAGGCTGTTGACTGATTCGTTCGTTCAGTGCGACCGACGAGCGTGATCAACCGTATTTTTCTATTGGAGATTTTCGGACGGAGGCCGAGGTATTTGAAACTGATCCGTTTCGCGTCGGAAATCGGTGCTTCCCTTCTTGATTCCCTTCTCGGATCGTTCGAACCGAGACTCTGTACATATTATTGTAAATTCGATCGTGTTACCAGTACCTGTTTGTATAGATTCCGAAGAGGACTTTTAAAAGGCTGTTTAAAGATTTTCAATAAATCATTCGTGTGGTTTTCTAAATAAGAGCTTGATTATTTCTCGACGATTCGTCATCGGCTAATTGATAATCGGAAAAAGACTCGATTCTTTCCTGAGAAAGAAACAATTCGAGAGGGCTCGCGAAGCTTTCGAGACTTGGTCTTTTAATTAAAAAATCCTACGATGAGAATGTAATTTTGCAAAGTGCTTTTTAATCCGGCTTAATTCCTCCGCTCGTACGTTAAACGACCTTCCGGTCCGACTGTCCTAAAGTAACGTTGAAATCTTCAAATATCCGCTGCGTATGCGGCTGCCAGTAACGTCATAGCGTACGTGCATGCTAATTGGACAGTCGAACGGTAAACATATAACGATGCCAGTGGAACAATTAAATTTCGAAACCGGTAGAAACCGAGGCGTGTCATCGCGCCGAGGCTTTTGTTTTCTAACGATCGAAACATAAACCTCGTTTGTTTGCTTTCTATCGTTCGATAGTTTACCCGGCAATGTGTATTACCCGTCGCGTGTCGTTGAAATATCAAATATGAACAGTCTCGAAGCTATGCTAAATAACACACATGCGAGTAGGACGAGAATATTTTCTGAAACTTGAACATTTTACTTTGACATCGAACACCGCTTTCTAGCTCTTTCCAGTGGCAAACCGAGCATTGCTCTTGGAACGTTTAATGCTCCTAAGTGTTCACTTCTAGAAGTAGAATTAGTTTTTAAACTCACCGCAAATATAGTATAGAGAGATCTCTACCGGGAACATCGAGAAGAAACAGCCAAAAGACATTCCAAGTTTCAACAACGACACTGCCCAAGAAACCTCATCCGTTGTCATCTTTATGAACGAGTCTTCGAACATCAGTGTTCGGTATCATCGGGGACGTCCATTCCAGAAGCATTTGATTAGTAAACCGGGACTGCTTTAGCTTGAATTTTGTTAACTGTGCACACGAATAGCCAATTGACTGGAAAAAAAGTAAATTTCAATAGATTTTTCCATTATTATCACCATCATCGTCGTCATCATCGACAGCTTACTGTGCGGCAGAGACTAATAATCGCCCGGAAAATAGCACGTCGATAATATAACTGGATTAAAGTTTCCTTTTAGCCTGGTTTATTTCTGAGAAAATTACGTTTCACTCTCAACCATGCTGCTATTCAATGGGAGTTGACTGACGCGTCTGCTCATTACGCGCCGTATCTACTAAAACGCGGCCGAATGTACACAAGTGTCGTATAAATTTTCAAATTTAATATCCGTATCGAATCATTTCTTCATTGGAAACGCGAACAGCTGACAATGAAATGTTCCCCATCGAAATTCCTAATGAAATATTTATTCTGCCGTTTCAATGATTAATTACGATTGCAATTTCAGAGATGCTGAAATATCGGCGAAAGACTTCTTTCGAATTCGAAGAGGAAATAAAATGAACGTTCCAAGGTATTGTCGTTTATTACTATCATCGAAACCTGCAATGTCCAACCCGCTGCGAATCTATTTGCGTGCTAACGCGGAAACTCTAATCGTTTCTTTGCATTAGCTTTCGAGATCGTGTCAGATTCGTTTCCGAGAAGGCTGTAACCGCGTCGGACACGTGGGACGCGCAACACAAGAGCCGGCGTGTGTGTTTATTCGTATGCAGTTTGCATGGCAGATAACGGCATTGATTACCTGATTGTTAATTAATACGAGCTGCAAGCAACCGGTTTCTCGTTTTCCATCGTTGAACGGTAATTCCATTACGTTCAAATTTGCTCGGCGATATCTTCCACCGTTTCATCGCGACGCGTATCGATAAATCGAATGTTCCTATCAATCTACAATAAATAAATGAACGATAACGAAAACAGCATCTTCCGTGTCGATTGTGTACAAGAACTTCCTTTCGAAGCCCTTGCCAATTAGAGTGTATTGTAAGAGAAGTTCGGAAGGGTCAGGAAAAATACACTTGCGTGATAATCATTTGGTTTATTAGAAACGATCGATGATCGACTCGGAATGCCTTAAAAAGATACGCAAATGATTTCCGAAAGGAGAAATTGACGAATAAATTCCCATAATACTGTCGTTTCTACTTTATACGAGACAACGGTGTTCCAGACCTCAGGAACGTCACCGTAATCCTGGTAAACAACGGTCCACGGAAGCATTTGTCAAACGCATGAGTTGCCCATTCATTCCAGGGCGCAGACATTAAGGACTATGGCGTGCTTTCGATTCTCGACGCGTACTCGACGTGAAACGAGACAAAGAAATATGGAAATCCCGTAACCCATTTCCCGAAAACCGAGCGAACATTTCAAAAATCTCTTCTTTTTCCATCATTCTCCCTTTGTCGTTTCTACAACGTTCGATTCGATTCAAAGTGAATTGATCCACTGTCGTTGGCGTTTTGTGCACTGTTTATAGACTGCAGCCGTATAAGAACGATGGTTTCGTAACCGTACATCCCTGTTGGACCGTGATCGCGTTCCACGTAATACGTATACGCGTGTAGAATATAATCAGTGGCAGTAGTGACGGCTTACACGGGATCAGCGTCAGTAGTAACGAGCTGCACGGATCAGCCAGTGGTTCGCGCAATCCAGCATATCGCGTCAGTGTTATTATCTCGGTTATCTATTTCTATTTCCGTTTCTATTCGACGAGACACGAGTGTATTCGTCAGCGAGCTTCAGCTTTATAAAAGCTTTTGAAAGGCAACAAACCGATCGAAATGCCCCAATATATGCAACACCTTGAACATTTCACGTATCGCCTATCGGTTCCGTTCGACCGTACACCGAACAGAAATCCTCGAAAGAGAGGGAGCCTCAAAATATTTGTTCTCCGTGCAACTGGTTCTGCACTTCCTGCAACGTCTTGTGCCGCGTCTCGGGCACGTAACACTTGACGAAACCGATGCCCACGAAACTGACCGCGGAGAACACCCAGAACGCGACATGCTTGCCGAATTGCGCGGCGATGCTCGGGTAGCCGAGCGTCACGGTGAACGCGAATACGTTCGTGCACATTATCATCAGCATGCTGCCGAGGGCTTTCACGTTCGTCGGGAACACTTCGCTCATCATGGTGAACGGAAGCGCGGCCAGTCCGACGGCGTACGTCACTATGTAAAGAATCGTCGCTATCGCTGGCAGCCAAACGATCCTGTCAACGTTCGCCCCTGAGTGCTGGTAGTAAAAGAACACGCCGACCAGCGTGGTCGACACGAATGTACCGCACATGGAGGTGGTCAGCAAGGTCCGTCTGCCGAAACTGTCGACCATCGCAGCGCTGAGAAAAGCGCACGTAAACTGCACGACGCCCAGTATCATCGTTACGTATTTACCCTCGAAGCTGTTGTTCGTCGCGTTGAAGATCAGCTCCGCGTACGAGAGGATGGCCATGCTGCCGCTCCACTGTTGGATCAGAGCAAGGCAGGCGACCACTATCAGAGCCCTGGAGAAACGATTCTTTGTATTGCCAGCTTATTATTATTTAGTCGGAGCTCGGGCAGCTCTCCGAGTCCATAGAACCTTCGGCACGATCGACTCACTTGCGATTGCCGGAAACGGTCAGCAGCTCTCTTAGTCCAGTATCGTTCGCCAGATCTATTTTCACAGACTTCTCTATGATCGACGCTTCTTCGGCCACGTTCGCGGTTCCTCTCAATCGGGCAAGAGTTTCGATCGCCTGTTGACGTTTACCGCGACGCATCAAATGATAAGGCGACTCTGGTAGCCAGACTATACTCGACACGGAGACAATCGGCAGCGTCAGCGACACGAGAGCGAGATTTCTCACGGACAGGAACGGACCTATCGTCCACCCAATGAGTACGCCGAGCTTCGCTGCCGCTGTCAACGCGGACGTCAAGATCCCCCGTATACGAGCTGGCGAGATCTCGCCAACGTACATCGTAGTGCACACGTAGCCGGAACCGGTGCTCAGGCCACAGGCGAGCCTCGCGATGTACAACTCCTGAGTAAAAGAAAAGAGCAGCTCTGTTTCGAAAAGATGTGAACGTCCGGAAATGTTTCAACGAGACGTAGAATTAGATTGTTGGAAGTTACCCAAACGGATGAGGCGAAGCCGATCATAAGCCACGCTACTATTTCTGGCACAGCTGTAAGAAGCACGGTCCACTTCCTGCCGATTTTGTTGATAACGCAAGAGCATAGTAAACAACCGAGCATTGCACCCAACATTTGGCACGACGTGACCCACGTAGCCTCTTCCGGCGTCAGGGGCACCGGGCTGTCTTTCCCTTGAAGCAGAGGCAACGACGGCGACGACCAACCGAAGAATTCGCCATACGACATCATCGCCAAACAATCTGAGGATCAAACACACCATTCTTTCCATTATAATCTTACTCTAAACAGACTGTCCGAGTTCATTCGGAAGAAAGAGATGGCAACGAACGCGTCGAGTAGCAAGAACAATGTGTACATCTACAGATACGCCACGATAAGAATCTACTCGAATGAACTTACTAGCAGCAGCAGCTAAATACACTTTCTTCATTGCTCCGACAGATTGATCGCGAGGTAGACGAATGATCGAGGCAAAGAACGAGACAACGGAATCGAGCAATCGGTCGGAATGTTGTCTAGATAGTGAGTATCGTGAGAATTATATGTAAGATAGTCTCGATCGTTAAATGAATTTATCGTTATCAAACGGTATATCTTTAATTACGGCACGACAAGATCAAAACAAACACCTGAATTGTAAACGACTCGAAGAATCGAAGATTTAATAGAAGAACGGTAGGTCTAATGAACTACATTGATCCAACTAAATTAGCCGATAAAATTAGCCGATAACATATTACGCGACTCATAGTAGATAAGTCTACGAAAGAAGAAGGAAAATAAGGAATCGTGAATACAGGCCAAGAATGGACAAGCATCGATGATGAATTTTATTATTTCGAACTGTACTTTAATAAGTCTTTCACACTCGGTCTACATTGTAGTTACGGTTAATGTAACATAAATAAAACACGAATAAAAACCAGAAGCACCACACACGTTATAAATAATTTCATGAATGCCAACAATACGATTGTGCAGTAAAATATTCGTTTGAACGTTCGCTTCTTTTCGTCCTGTGTGTCCGCGTACTACTCTCGTGCTCTCTTTGTGCCATTTTCCATAGCGATGAATATCATTAAATGAACAATAAATAAACGATGTTACATGAATAATTTGTTCACGTGAAACGTCTAGGAGCATTTACAAATCTATAAGACCTAACGAATACTGTACAATACAGCGTTCCTTGAGTTATTATAAATTAAGGTGGCTGATGTAATCGTCTCGTTTCAATACTGAGCTAAGAAAATTAACATTATCAATTTGACAGTATAAATTTATCACAGATTCGTAATGCTTGGAGTGTTTTAAATTGTAACTATGATTAACATACATCTATTTACAATAATAGCGACTATCAAACTTACTCCTCTTCTCTTGTTTACCGCGTTCTTTTCCGTTTAACGCTAAAATATGTACGCCTAACGCAGAGTCGAAAAAGTAGTCGAATTTTAACTATTCAACGTGTTCGTCCAGAACCAGAAATGCGGTTTGTCAAGTAAGTTATGAATTTATGTACAACACATGCTGCGTTTATCGTATGCTTTCGATGAAGCGAGGATAAGCTTTAAGGGGAGGAGCGAATTTCAACGTGCAGTAACGTTCCAATAAATAGCCCGTATTCTCTCACGCGACAAACAGCATTAACAACATGGAAAATCAATGGTTCTTAAATTCACGGTATTTTCAATGTTGGCCTAAATACTCGTTTTCTGTCTGTTTGTTTGCTCGTTTGCTTGTTTGCTTGTAAACACAGCCGACTATATTACGTTTCTTATCGAGTATCGAGCTCATCTTCTTTCGTTAGAACCTCTTAATACAGTTTTCGATAACAACCTTGTCTTTTCTTTCTTTCTTTCCGATTCTACGTTCACTTTGAAAAGAAAAGAAAGAAAAGAAAAAAAAGAAAGAAAAGATCTCATCGTGTTATTCTTTCAAGGAAACGAATAATATGAAAGTTTGATGAAAATTCAGTGACTGTACTTGACAATACTTTAATGCAGTATTCACCGACCTGTAGTATAATTTTTAACACGTTACGCAAAACGTTGAGAACCCTTACGAAATGTACACTCATATATAAACCTACGTACACAAAATGGTAGAATACAAGGTGTATCGCCTAAGATGTTACAAGACATCCGTTTGTACAAACTGCTACAGATAGAAATAAAAATTCTTTTTCTTTACACAATCCTTTCAGACTCCGCTTCTGTCTACGAATAATGGCAATCATTCTCCTCCCTTTGCATCTCGTTTGATAATGTAAAATCTAAAAAGAATTTACCATTACATTCGTTACCATTAATAATGCGCAACACATTATGCGGTATGCCGTGTTGCACGATATCGTATCTCGGAAAATAAAATTCGATCTACAGTAACATACATATTAATTTGCACAAAATACTGTTTTCGGGGATGCTGAACTCGCACACCAATCGAGGCAACAGCACTGCTATTACAAAGGAACCGTATTTTCCCTTCCATACCTTCGCGTTCGCCAAGTTTCCAAGGAACATGCATTACAAATTCACCTGGAACTTGGATGTTTATAATAAAAAATGAGAAAGAAAAAGAAAAAGAAGAAGAAAAAGAAGAAGAAAAAGAAGAAGAAAAAGAAAAAGAAAAAGAAAAAGAAAGGAATAAAGATAAAGATACAGATAAAGAAAACACCGTGTTATTTAAATATTAAATGAATCATCTAATAGAGGAAACGACTCGCGGGCATGTTAACCGCGCCTCGACAGCTACTAGGAGGAGGATTCTCGTCGTCGGAATTTTCATTTCTTCGTAACAATACGGAGCTCTGTCGACCATGTTGAGATTTCTCGGCTTGATGCCTCAACTCCTCGATGTAGGCTGTGGTATCGTTTGCCACCAGTCCCTGCAACTGTTTGCTCAACGTCGACAGTTCCGGTTTATCTTCATCGTAAATACCGTCGAACGGGACACACTTCTCGTAAAATAATATATATGGCGTATCAGGTGGTTTCAAGTCTTTAAAGTCGTTAAGGGTAGTTTGTGAAACATAACTGTCGTTAAATTTGTACCAGTTCTGTTTCGAATCGCGCGCGTATGTGAAATAATGACCGTAATCCATACTGTAACCAGAGTGTACAACCGCGGCGTATAATTGGTACGTTTCGGTGGTCGTACACAGTGGTGTCGATATCGGTAACTGTATAGTCTCGTTATACATTACTTTGTGCCGAAGTTTCGTTCGTAACCTGGTATTAAAATCGTAACGGAAATGCTTCAATATCAAAATCAAATAAGTTGGCGTATGCAAAATTTTGATAATTCTTTGTGCATCGCACAATTTCATGCACTTGTCGCATCGGTACTTGTTCTCGCCGGTCAGCTTCTCCGGCGTTAAATAATAATTAATAAGATCTTGTACGGAGACTTCTTGATTCTCTTGTATCTCTTCCGGAAAGCACAGCTGTAAGTCTCGAAACTTGTCCGTATTATGAGAACTAGTATCACACTGTGCACACTGGTAAGTAATTTTACATTTCCCTCCTAGAACTCTGTGCACCAGAGGTACTTGTGTACTCGTATCTTCTCCGCCTACAGACTGTATTCCGCTGTCTGTAGAGTCCGAATGAGAGTCGCTAAGTTGCTGTGTTTGTGCCAAATCTTCTCCTGCAAGATAACGTTTCACAATTCGAAAATTCGCTCGATACGTAACTATGGAACAGTTCTGGCGTAAAAGAGTAACCGATATTTCTTACCTTCCGTAAAATCAGCCAACGATTGTGTTTTCCTTTCTAACGCTATACTTCCAGTTAAATCTTCTTCGGTTGTCCAACGCTTAATAGACCCTCCATCTTCGTTCATTAACGAGATGTCGGTTATTTCCTTGTCATCCTTATACTTCAGATTAGAATCATTCGCTTCGCAACTTATACTAGCAGATTTTTCTTGTTCGTGCAACAGATCCAACAGATGACTGTTAACATAAATAAATTAGTTGATACATACAACACGATATCTGATCCATAAAGCTGATATAGAAAACAATTGGAAGATGTAATTATTTCTTGCCGGTAAGACAATCTACGGTATAAGCGGTAAAGTAAACAGAAATACGCATTATAATTGTAATATATTAACCAGAGAAATTCTGAACTATCTTGCTGTTGTCCTGGTAGAAAATAAGCTGGCCGGGAGGCTAGGAGAATCTCGGTAGGCGCCAATGAAATTCTTTTCGAGTATAATAAAAGAGTAAACAATTTTTGTAATTTTTTAAGTACAACATGGTCGTTAACATTGTTCGAAGGCTTGTACATTAATACTTCGTAACAAAACTGTCTGGTCATTAATAATGCTTGCAGTACGCTATTCATATAACATGTGTTCCCAAGATTTGAAAGCCCAACTTTTCCAGAGTGTGGTTTCGGCGATTCGATAACTGGCTCGATCTCTTCCGTTTCGTTAACCCAAACGTGATCGTTTAGTATCTCTTTAACAATATGCATTCTAGGTTGTACAGGGAAACTGTTTTCTATATTACTGTACGAACATTGACCTGGGAACCTTAATATATGCACTTTGAAAATATCGACCAAGTTTTGCACGCATGTTTTGCTCGACTCTGAATCCTCTTTCATTAAAAATGTCAAGACTCTTTGTATATTTCTCTCTGTAGCTCGAAATAATACGGGAGATCCTTGTCTTTTCAAAATATGAAATACAACTTCGGATGCATTCTGGCGAATCACAGACACCAGCAACGCGTGAAACATAACATCGATAGTTGCCTTTGTGACCTCGATGAGTACAGAATATTTACGTTGTTTCTCTAAACCAAGTATAAATTTCATAATCCATATGCTAAGTCGATCGCCTCTCCATTTTGGAAGCCAATTACACAATGTTTTCAAAGCATGGGCTAATTGCGCATCGGAATGCGATTCAGAAAGAATCCAATTTACAGCTTGAGGTATAATAGATAGTTCTACTAGCTGTAATATAGCTGCCAGGCCAGGGCCAGGATCTTGTTTACGTTTAGTATCCGATATAATTCTATATAATGTCTGGAGACATATAAAAATTAAGTAATTGCTTTCAACGTTTTTAGACTGTGTTTGTACTGTTTTTAGAAAGTTTTGAACTTTGGTTGCATTGTCGGTAAATTCTGAAATCTCTTTCGGATCGGGCGGCATTGAGAATCCGGACAAACTTATGACAATCGCCTCACAGAGGTTAGAGTGATTTGCAGTCTCCGGCAGATACACATTGTATTCCATTAACGCCTGAAGTATCATCGTTAAATCGGACATGTATCTGATTTCTGTGTTCCTTATCATCACTGCAATATCATTGGAAATCGGATTAACGGAAAATGTTTTCTCGGGCAGGTATTTCGCGAACCATGCCATAATTCCTGGAACTTCGTGTACATTTAGTATCTGATCATTGAGCATTTCTCTCAAGATACTTTCGTAATTGCTCAGTTTCCTGTATGCTGGCTCACTTTCTAATTTTTTAAGTTTGGTCCATCCTTCAGTAACCTCTGCATCTTTGCCAATCACTATTAAATTTAAACATTGTTTAATGTCGTACCGAAGAATTTGTTCAGTATCCATTGTTCAGGGATTATCACTTGCACGTCACCTTACACTATTTCTTTTACAATTTTTAATTACAATTATTATTAACCTCAACCGAGAATGACTTTCACGAAAATCTAAAT